CCACACATTCACTGATTAAAACTTAATGTTACAAAACAGGCCCTTTCATGGCTTCCCCTGACTTACATTGATCATCCATTAATTTCGTCTTGTTTGTGATTTGTCTCCATCTGTTTTCCCCCTCCACCGTCTCTCGGCACCTTCCCTGCGCTGCCGTCTCCTTCGCTCACCTCCTCGGTGTGCCTCACCTTCATCCCACGGCTGACAGTGTTTCCTCCCTTTCTCCTCCCTGTTCATTTAGCGCAGCCAGGGGTGCAACGTGGGCGAGAGGCTGAGATTAAATACAGAGGCTGAGGGGGACGGAAAAAGCCGGCATWTCGCAGACAGCATGACAGAGCAGGAAAGGAAGGGTGTTGTGTGGAGAAGCGTGACAACAAACACAGGTAGTGATGAAAGTGCGACAAGAGGATCAAGAAGAGGGAAAGCTTAGAAAGGAAGGACACAAGCGGTAGAAGGCTGATGGGAAGCGTGAAACTGATTTCTGAGGACATGGTGTCACTTTCTGGCTGGCAGCACACAGGTCAGAGGTGAAGCATGAGATTTGAGACACACACGAACAGAAACGACACACACACACACACACAAAGACTTGCTGCACAGAGAGAAAAAGACAGGAAGAAACTTTTGATGCAGCAGCAGCTCTGCTCTGTACTGTGGCTGTTGATGGAAAGAGCAATACTTTGGAACAGGCTGTGTTGAAATTACTTACAACTAGTTTAGCCTGAAACCCAAAGCTAACTTGTGTACACAATTACTCACACATGCACACTCACACGGTGCAATTTTCTTTAAGTTTTCCCTGTCCCTTCCTCTTTAGAACAATAGCAATATATGTAAAATGTACCTTACTTTTCTCAGCTAGAGTTTGGTCCCGCTTTGCAATTTAAAAAGAAATGCATAAACGTCAAACTTAAAAATAAATTTGTCATCATTTGGGAGGTTTGAGTACACACTAAGTCCAAAAGACTGAGGTTAAAAAAAATACTGCACTGCATGTAACCAGCTATTTAAAAGCAACACTTTCAGTAAACGTCCAAGCTGTACTGCAGAGCCACAAGTGCTCTGAAGGTCCAACTTGCTGACTACGCAGTCTTCGGTGCAGACTGAGTGGTTCTGTGGAGCAGTTCATGTGTAGCACAACAGTTGTATTAAAAAAATAAAAATGTTCATTCAGATTTAATATTTAATGCTCTTAAAAGTGAAGGAGAATAATTCCAAAGAGTCAAACAATATCAGTTTCACTCGCTGCCAGAGAGGAGGACAGTAAGAGGGTTTTAATAATGCCCATCATCATTCTGCTCATGGTGTAAAAACAGCATGGGGACTTCGGGCTTTCAAATGAGTCACTATAAATCATGAGTGACCATGGCTATGAGTGACCGTTTCTGAATACATATGAACTATTAGAGTAGAAGTCGGACTGTCGCAATCGGGTTGAATTATCTGTTAAGAAGATATGTATAAGTAATTACTACAGGCTCACCACTTAAAAACAATTCAGATGGAACTTTTAAATCCTTGAGCTGGAATATACGGTAATGATCTTTCATGTTGTCCTTGATTTAAGGAAGTATGCAAATTCTTTTGTCTAGAAACTCGGTAATCTCACTGATTCTTACAAAATATAGATCAACAGCTTATGTTGAAAAATGTTGCACTGATCTGTTGTTGACAGTATGTATCTCGGGTGTTTCATCATCTAACATAAAATTTATTTGTATATATTGTTTTTACATTTTCATGTTTGCCAGCAGACTTCACACCAGATACCAGCTGTAAGAGGTGTTGTCAGGATCTTGAAAACCTGGGAGTTCAGCCAAGCTTTAAACATTCTAGAAATTCTGTTCACACTTACATCATTTTCAAGTTATGTAGAATGTCAATGTCAATGTCAGTTTTATTTATATAGCACATAAAAACAACAGAAGTTGACCAAAGTGCTTCACAATCAAGCCAAATGAATAAAACAATTAAGCAACACATAAATGTAGACAATAAAATCAATTTAAAATACAGAAAACATCAAAAACATTATCATTAAAATAATCTCAAACTCTACCAGAATGAAAGGCCAGGGAGTAAAAGTGAGTGTTAAGTAGAGATTTAAAAGTCTCA